CTCTCTCCTGCCTAGTCCTCCCCTGCACGCCTCCCCTCAGGGTCCGCGTCTCCCTCTCTCCTGCCTAGTCCTCCCCTGCACGCCTCCCCTCAGGGCTCCTACACCACCCGATCACAGCCTCCTAAGACCACACCGCACACACACAGAAGGAAGTCCACCTGAAGGCTGGGGAGAAGGTGGCCACCTCAAGCCAGGCAGACAGCCCTCACCAGATACCAACCCCAATGGCCCTTGACCTTGGACATCCAAGCTTCGTTCAGAACTGTAAGAAAATAACTTTGTGTTGTTTCAGCCCCCCAGCCTGTGGTATGTTATGGCAGCTGAGCTGACTAACAGGACACAGTCTCAGCATTTTTGTGTTACATTAAGGCCTGTGTGATATTAGAAACAAAGGACAGAGGAATGCCACCCGCCCTTCCTTCTTCTCTCCCAACTCGCACGTACCCTCTTTTAAGATAAAGCTCTGAGAATCAAGAATCTGTTCAACCCGTCCGTCTGAAGGCGCAATGGCCCCAGCCACCACCAGATGGAGAGGTCTGCAGTTGGCAAAGCTGACTTTGGACTTTAGTCCAACCAAACCCAGACAGAAAGCGGCAGTGGGCAGCCCCCTCCTCTAAATGTCTGTGAGGTCTGAGGGTGACCTCCCACCTGGGAGCCCAGGCACCCTGTGGAAGGCAGGCGGGGCACCCCCAGCCCCTGCAGACAAGGCATCATGGTATGGAGCTGGGGTTTGTGATTTACCCAATTACACTGAGATTGGCTCCTGCTGGCAAAGTGCTTGCTGGAGCCTGACTACCAAAAAGGGAGATAATAATTAAGACCCATCATTCCTTAAATACACCCTGATGAATTTTTTTCAAAAGCAAAAGTCAGGTCATACTTGGAAGGAAAAGTGCAAGTAGGTGGGAACATGAGGAAAGAACCGTCAGGAACATTTCGATGCTATTTATCAAATGAAAGGCAGGAATTAGGCTCGGTGCCCCACTCCACATACACTGAGGCAGGTGGGTTTGAGCCTGGCCTGGGCCTGCTTACAACAATGACAACTGCAACCAAAAAATAGCCAGGCATTGTGGTGGGCACCTGTAGTCCCAGTTACCTGGGAGGCTGAGGTAAGAGAATCACTTATGCCCAAGAGTTTGAGGTTGCTGTGAGCTGTGAGAGCACAGCATTCTACTGAGGGTGACATAGTGAGACTATCTTAAAAAAAAGAAAAGACAAAAGGAATTAGCTCTTCAAACAGAAATCTGAAAAGAAACTAAAACCTGAGACCCTCAACTTATTGCAGTTAGAGCAGAAGAGCTGGTGAGTCTGGATGGCACATGCTGTCCATGCCATGGAGGTGGCAGGGTTAGTACAAAGACCAGTGGAGCCAGGTGAATATTGAGCACTCTACGGCCACCAGTACCACAGACCCAGATAGTTTCCTACTGTCCTATAGAAAAGGGAATCTGATACATTTGGTAGGCAGATGAGAGGAATGGGAGTTAATATTACCAGGACATTTACTCAGTGATTCTACCAACAGACGCATCAATAAATGATTATACCTTGAGGCATGACACGCTGGTAAGGGGCCATCACAGCATCCATGGGGACAGTTCCAGGACCTGATTCCCCTTCCTCATGTCAGCCAAAGCATGCTGCACTCACTCACCAAACCCTAGGACACCACCTTGACAGAAGAAACCAAAATCTTAGAGTCCCTCCCTGTGGCTCTGACCGCCAGGACTGTTTCCATCTTCAGTTGAGATTCCAGCACTTAGAAAAATTCTGACACTTAGGAAAAGCTGTACAAGTTCAATATTTGCTCTATGTCACCAGTGGAGAGATTTCACTGAGTCACGTCATGGCTGGGATAAAAGGAGCTTCACTGAAATTTTTCAACAGCAAATTAGTCCAAAGTGAGCAGCAAGAATAAAAGCCCAGGGCGGCACCTGTGGCTCAAAGGAGTGGGGCGCTGGCCCCCCTGTACTGGAGGTGGCGAGTTCAAACCTGGCCCTGGCCAAAAACTGCAAAAAAAAAAAAAAAAAGAATAAAAGCCCAGATAAATGTATTTAAAGCTTTAACTTCCTTCAGTAACTATTTATTCAGTGTCTACTACACGCAAGTCCATGCCTGGCAAAAAGAAGGTGTCTGAACCAAAGTCACCTTTCAATTCCAAAGTATAGACGGTTGTTCTTGTTAAAAGGAAAGAGAAGAACTTTAAATATGGACATATTCACTTACATGTATATCCAGACATATATATTATTCTGGAGAACCAAATTTTACAGAGGTACGTCGGAAGAAGAATCAACAAAGAAGAAAACAGAGTAGTTTTCTAACTACTCAGCTTCTAACACCTCAGCTTCTAAGCAGGAACTCTGAGATTGTGTGTTATTTCAGGGCAAAACCTAAAGATAGCTTTCTTGGTTTTGACTGTGCATAATGTGTACCTTGTGGAAAACAAATATAATACTTTCTGCTCAATAACTTCCGATGGACAGAACTAAAATTACACTCAGACAGAACTGACTTAGAAAACCACATATGAACAAGGCAGAGATCATGACCTTTGACCTTATAATGTCCTAACAGTCCAGGTTACGTGAGTTCCAAGATTCTTTATGGCTGGGACTGCTACTTGGTTTAAGGTGACATGGAGGTAGGAAACCCTTACTTTAGCATAAAGGGCAGGTGGCTCCGGGTAGGTCACAGGTTCCATGAACATAGAAGCAGTTTGGGTTTACTAAGGAAAAACTGCCTCCACTACCACAAATCACACCCCTCACTACAGTCCACATGCAGTTAGGGAAATCAAAAGTCTAGTCCAGACAGGGAGATGTGTGCAAAACACATCTGGTAAAGGATTTGTATTCAGAACATACAGAGAACTTGCAAAACTCAATAACAATCCAATAAAATACAGGCAAAAGATCTGAACAGACATTTCACCAAAGGAGATACAATGATGGCAATTAACCCCATCAAAAAATGTTCCATGTTGTTAGTCATTATAGAAGTTAAAACTGCAACTACATACCACTATACACCTATTACAGTGGGTAAAATTACAAGCAGACAACAAAACAAAAATGATAATACCAAGGCTGGTGAGAAAGTATCTGACCAAGCAATCCCAGTCCTAGGTATTTACTCAAGAGAAATCAAAATATATGTCCATGCAAAAACCGGTCTTTGATTTTTAAACAGCTGCCCCAAAGTGGAAACAGTCCAAATGTCCTTCAGTTGGTGAGTGGATAAAATAACCATGGAGATCCACAACGGAATAATGCTCGGCAGCAGAAAAGAGCAAACTGCTGACCCAGGTACAACAAGGGAGTGGCAAACAGTGTGAGAGGGAAGCTAGAGGCACGCCCACTGGGGAGGAAGACACGAGCCCAGCCTATCAAGGGGAAGGGGAGAGGAGGGAGGAGGGAGAGCGACTGGCAGGATCCAACCTACAATGGAAACACAAGCCCAGCCTATCAAGGGGAAGGGGAGAGGAGGGAGGAGGGAGAGCGACTGGCAGGATCCAACCTACAATGAAAACACAAGCCCAGCCTGTCAAGGGGAAGGGGAGAGGAGGGAGGAGGGAGAATGACTGGCAGGATCCAACCTACAATGAAAACACAAGCCCAGCCTGTCAAGGGGAAGGGGAGAGGAGGGAGGAGGGAGAGCGACTGGCAGGATCCAACCTACAATGGAAACACAAGCCCAGCCTGTCAAGGGGAAGGGGAGAGGGGAAGAGGGAGGGCGACTGGTGGGATCTCACCTACAGTGCACTAGGTGAGTGTTGAGCATGCCCCCTCGGTGAATTTAGGGCTCCACTACAACTCAAACTTTATCTTAGAAGTGGAAAAAATGTAACCCAGACATTTGGACCCTCATATCAATCTGAAATTTAAGAAAAAAGTCTGTACATTACAGGATTCCACTTCTGTGACATTCTGGTGAAGGGCAGGTGAGGCCTGGGCCTGCAGCAAAGGTAGAGGCAACACAAAGGGGCCCTGGGGGCCCTGGGGTGACGAAATGTGCTCTATCACTGTGCTGATAGCTGTGGACCTGTGTTGGTCAAAACTCAGAGAACTGTATGCCAAAAGGGTGGCTTTTACTAAATGTAACACACCCCTCTCTATAAAGCTTAGTTTAAAAAAATAAGAGACTTCCATATTTACACACCCACGTCTGCAGCAGCCCTGTGTGCACTAGCCACCCAAGTGTCTACTGAGATGGATGGATAAACAAAATGTGGCACGTACATGTAACAGAATTCCCTTCCAGTTTAGGGCTGAGTAACACTGACCTGGACTTCAACATGGATGGGCCTTGAGGACATTATGTTAAGTGAAGTTAAGCAGTCACAAAAAGATAGAACCTGTAAGATTCCACTTGTGTGAGGTCCCTAGAGCTGTCAGATTCAGAGAGACGGGAAGCAGACTAGTGGGCACCAGGGGTCAGGGGAGGGCATGGGGAGTCAGCGTTTCTTGGGACAGAGCTTCAGTTTTGCAAAACAAAAATGAGTGTCTTTTCCGGAGACAATGGTGGCAACAGTGACAGAACAACAATATGAACACACTAATGCACTGAACTGAACATATACAAACGGCTAACGTAGTAAATTTCATATCACGTATATTGTATCACGATTTTTAAAAATGTTAAAGGCAAGCAAAATAAAGATATTTTCAGAAAAAAGAAAAGAGTTCAAGTTGGGTGGTGTCTATAGCCTGTAATCCTAGCACTTTGGGAGGCCAAGGCAGGAGGACTGCTTGACCCTATGAGTTCAAGACTAGCCTAAACAGTAAGAAACCTCATCTCTACAAAAATTAAAAAAAAAAAAAAAAAAATAGCTGAGTGTTGTGGCACGTGCCTGGAGTCCCAGCTCCTAATTAGATTAAAATACAAGAATCACTTGAACTCAAGAGTTTGAGGTTGTAGTGAGCTGTGACGGTACCACTGTGCTCCAGCCCCAGCAACAGAGTAAGACTTTATCTTGAAAAGGGAAAAGGAATGGGAACAGGAAAGGGAGAGACTAGACTTGACTTCATGAATCTGTACGTCTGGCCTCCTCATTTTAAAGATGGGGAAACAGAGGTTCGTCTTGCCCAAGATCCTGTGGCTAAGCAAAGGTCGAGCTCAAACAAGAATGTGGGTTCCCATCTCATTGCCCAAAGCTCTTTTCACGGGAAGTCAGGTCTGTAAGCCAGTTGCCAGCTGCTTCCCACTGCAAACCTGTCTCAGCCATAACTCAAGTGAGGAAATAACCTGCTATGAGTCATATGTTTGAAATACCTACAGGGCACATATAAAAACAACAGGAAACCACCTGGCCCAAAGCTTGGCAAGATGGAAAAGAAGATACACAGGCTGACATTAACCAGAGGGTTTTCCTGTACTCCTACTGGAGTCATCTATCATGACAACAACCACATAACTGGGTCATCCAGGACATTTTCCCATAATCAGATTTTACAGACCTGGCTGTAATTTTTATTTTTATTTTTTATTTTATATATTTTTGGCATAAGCAGAACTCACCTTGCTCCTTTCCATTACACATAGTAATTCCATTTTCTACAACACCCTCCCCATCTGAGCTGGGTCTCTCCAAAGACAGTTTCTGTAAGGAGAAAAAGGATTAAGTTATTCTCATAATGAGCACACTGGCCAAGTGCTATGCAATGGATCAATTAAAAGTTATTTCAAGGGGAAAGAAAACGTGGGCCAAGTTCACAACAATCCAGTAGTTAGGGCTTACACATAACAGAGACTGCGGGTTAGGTTGCTATGAAAGCTTTAAAAACATCCTAAAAACAAACAACTCACTGAGGTTATATTACACTAACACATGTATTGTCCTATGCCGATTTCATTCAAATCACTTTTTCTTATAAATAAGTTTGAAAAAATATTATGATTACAAAACATATTTCCCTCACCAAGCCATATGCCTGCAAAAATAAAAATCCCATCATCATTTAATTTTTTTCTGCCATTCACCAATAATTGGGTATCAAGGATTTGCTTATAACAAAAACACTCAGAATATACACAGAGAGGCAAGGTCACTATCCAAACCCTCAAAGGAGGCTAGAATACTCGTCCTTATTTCTGTCCAAATGTCTGGGTTTAATGAGCACAATTAGGATTCTGTGCCGGGATCTGAATGAGACACAGTGTTTATAGCTGGATTCCTTCCACTCTTGTCCGAGGACCTGTGGAGTCACAGTGGGGAATGGCCTCTGCATGCCCTCCTCAGACCGTCTGCTTCATGCCCCAGTGCTTCAGAGACTGGCCAGCTGGACACAAATGAAACACACAGACAAAGGAATATGCATATTCAACTCAGAACAGAGGACCCGGCACTCTCGGCCACAGACAGCAGACAGGTGTCAGCGACCCTGTAAGAACTGTAGGGAAAGAGTCAGTGCCACTGGCGGGAAGCCAAGTTGCAGGGTCCCACAACCTCATGCCAGTGGGAAGAACTGTGGGGGCCAACAGCGGTACCTCAGAAACCACAGATAAGCAGAGGAGACTCACCAACACTGATGTGTGTGAAAAAGGAACTCGGAGGCACCGACATGGGAAATGAGATGGGAATGCAATTTGATTAGCCACATGAATCAAATTCTTAAAAAAAGGAAAGAGTTCTTATTCTCTGATCTAGTAGTTCAGCTTTCAGTAATCTACTCTCAGGTGACAGACACAGAAACAGCAAAGATTTATGCTAAAGCTGTCAAGTCCTATTTTATTTGTACTAATCCAAGGGAGGGAGTATTTGCGTGATAGTAGAGTCATAGACACTTGATACTAAGCTGATGAAAATGCAAAAATGCATGTTGCTTGTTGTGGGTTTTTCAAAACTTTAAAATTTTCTAATAATAAACAGGTAAGTGAAGAAAAACAGTATAAGAAATTTTACATATAAGCTTACCCAAACTGTAAAAGAGTTTTTTTGTAAAACCTTGTAAAAGCCTTTTTTTGTCTATCCTTGTGGTAGTTAGTGTTTGACAGAGAAGCAGAGCTGCTGGGTAGGATGTGTACGGGGATATGTGTAGAAGGAGATTATAAGGAATCAGCGCACGTGAGTATAGAGGCTACAAAGGGAAACGTGGTTAGAAAGATGGAGAGTGTTAAAGGAGCTGCCTGCTCTATGTGGGAGACTAAAAATGACTGGTTAGAAAGGTGGAGAGTGTTAAAGGAGCTGCCT